GCTTTTAAATTTTATGAATATGGGAAAGTGACAATATCAGTGTTTGTGTGTGACATACATTGTATATGTTGACCTCTCAGACAGTTTTCATCTGTACATAAGTATCTGAGCTATTTCAGTCATTGGATTTTTGCTTTTGAGAGGTCTTATGATAGATCTGAGACCTGCTGTTTGGGGGAACTCTGCTGTTATCTATACACACATGATCTGTCTTGTTCGTAAGAGTTTTGGACAGATTTATTCTAGTTAAGCCATAAGTGTTGATGTGTAAACTTGTTTTGATTAAAGAACTTTTCTATCAAACTCTATTCACAAATTACTTCCTTGTTATTGGTAGCAGAGTAAAAGGAACTGTGGATGTGTTCCCCAGCAGATGCTGCGGTGCAGGGCACAGGGCTAACTAAGCACTAGCTCGTGCTGGGGACAGAACGGAAATACTGTTTCCTTCTTCCTGGGACCCAAGAAGCCACAAGCCTGTCAGCTTCTGGCTGTATCAGCAGCACTGTGGGAACTTGTCACTGCTTGCACAAGCTGCCTGAAGTTCTCTTTAAAGCATAGTTGCCTTTTACATTTTTCTTATCATAAGCTGATTCACAGGTATCAGAACCTATGTTGGCTCAACTTCAATTGTTGTATTTACTTATAAATCCACACGTGAACACATCAGTGAAAACCACAAGCTCATACAGTGTAATGTATGCGCGGTCTTTATTAGCGCACTGAGATGTCTGGGGAGTTGGTTTTTGTAGAACAAGTTTCAACTGATTGAAAGTTCTTGAAGAAATTTTAGATACACCACCTGAGAACCTGCTAGGAACAATTTGGCTGCAGTACCTAAAACTTTATAGTTGCTAATATAGCTAGTAACTTCACACAGTGTTACAGACTTTACTAAGTTTTACCTGACGCAGTGACAGCTAGGAGGTACAGTAACAGCACTCCTCCCACAGCCACTTACCTGGTCACAGATGCCGGGTCAAGATGAGGTCTGCCATTTAATCTGTCCTGAGAGCTTTCATGGCTCTATGAGGCATTTCTAAACAAGTTTTACACTATTAAAAACAGCAAGCCGGGGCTGGGCTTGGAGGCGCACACCTGTGATCCCAGGACCCAGGAGGCTGAGGCAGGAGGCTCACTCATGAGATTGAGGCCAGCCTGGCCAAGCCACATGGTGAGTTCAAGGTCAGCCTAGTCATAGTAGACCCAGTCTCAACGCAAACAGAAAAGGCGAAGCTGTGTGTTTACATTCCTAAGGAGTGGAGCTACTGTGACAAGGGCTTGCATTTGGTTGTGTAACACATGATGGTAGTGATCACTGACCCTCCCAGCAGCAAAATTAGGATTTCTAATTATCAGCACGGCAATGGTATTAATGATCTCCTGTGTGCACCTACTGTACTGACAGGACCTAATATTTCTAACTATACAGGACGGTCACGGATACCTTCCTGATGACATTTCACACTTGTTTTTCTTTGCTGGATAAAACGATACAATTTAACAGTCCTGCTGTATATACTAAATTGGATAATCTTTTTTTTTTATGTAGGGTCACACTACACAGATCAGACTGTAGTGATCCTCCCATTTTCAGCCTCTGGGATTATAGGCGTGTACCATCATGCCCAGTCTCAATCGCCATCTCAGCACACCCTGGGGGTGAGGCCAGCACAGCATGGTCCCTGCATGGTCAAACGCTGGTCCCTGCATCTGCCTAAGCAGGTACTTTAATCTGCTGAGCTATCTGGCCAGCCTTTACACTAAACTGAAATGGCCATTAAAAACTCTTGGATTAGGAATTTTGTATCTTGAAAACACTGCACAAAGTTGGGGCTGGCCAGACATGCCTCCTCTCTTGTTTTCACCAGGACTCAGTAAGAAGACAAGGGTATATGAGGTTTTGGTGCAAAGGTTACCCTAGGGAACTGGCAGAGCACCACTAACAGATGATGAAACAGGAAATCCAGCACAGTGTTGTTCTGATTTTGTCGTCTTTGTCCACTAAACTAGCATTATATATACATGGAATAATCTATTGTGTTAAGTAACTTCTGGAACTTGCTGTCGTGCCAGTATGATATGAAAGTGAGTCAAAGTAAAAAGATCCTCCTTGCCTATTAACGCAAGACTTTACAGTACTAACATGCAGCATAGAAACATAAAGGGAACAAAAGTGAGATTCCGCAGGCATTTCAATCTGTCCACTGTTAGCAACACTGGACATGAGCACTCATGTAAGCACCACGTGAGGCAGCCATGGACGGGCCTCCTGGTTCTTACACTGATCCTCTGAACTGACTATAAATCAAGGAATTAAAATATCACTAGACATACCGGAAACAGGTCCTTGTGATTTCCATGCCAGTCAACTTAACTGAATATGTACCATTTTTAGTCTTACAGGCTTCATGAGTTTTTATTTATATGGTAAATAAATGTCTGTTCTTAGCCATCCAGAGAAATACGAAATTCAGTTGAATTTGAAAAATAACCTAGGAGAGAGAGTGAAACTTTAAATACATTTTATAACACTGCTAAAAACAAATAGCCAGGCAAGACAGGTGTGACACACACCTATAGCCCCAGCACTTGGGAGGCTAAGATTGCTGAGTGAGTTCAGGACACTGAACTACATAGCAAGACCCTGTCCCCCCTCTAAAAAAACTTAACTACTATTGTATTGTTTCTATAAGGAAGCTAATTGAAAATTAAAAGTTTCCTATTTTCTCTGACCCAGAAGTTAAGAGTATAACTAGAATTACTATGGCAAAAGGATTGGAAGAGCAGAGGAGCCAGACCAATAATACCACTGCCTTTTTTGCTCATAGAATACTGTCACATACCGGTAGTACATTGCCCAAAATGTAAGTGAAGCAGAGGTTTCTTTTAATCAGGTTATATTAACACTTTAAATTTGATATGTATGATACATAAAAAGTTTATCAAGTGAGACTTCATTTTCAGTAACACTTTGGTGAATAAAGGTAGGAGTATACACTCAAGATCTTGTTACGTTAAGAATGTCTTGTATACCTAGTTCCTATCAAACCAAAAGCTGAATGACAAAAGATCTCTAAGATTAAATTATACAACAGCTGTTGTTAAATTACAGGAAATTATTTTCTCTTGTATACACATTCTCCCTACTTTTTATTACAGCCTTGGAAGAATCTTTTACCTTGGACGCGCCATGGTAGAAGGGTGTCACTCTCATTCTTCAACCATTTTTTCCAAACTTTCAGCACCACGTGATGAGTCATTAAATTGAGTTCTGTCATCAGCAAAATCACTTAGGATATACAGTATCAGAATCAATATATAAAATGACTTCTATATTTCATTTCCATAATTCAGTAAGTTAACTCAAAATGAGTAAAAAGAAAGTAAAAATAAACTGGAATAAATACTGTAAAATTTAAAATACTTATGGATCATTGGATCTTTTTAATTAAATGTTCCAGGATCAACGTAAGGATAAGCAAGGAATTCCCCTAGCTTGTTGCCTTCTGAATCATAATGGAGCATTCGGAAGCAAACATCACAAAAGAAACAGGGGTCCTCTGGTGCAAAACTGTCACTGTTCGTCACCCATCTGTAGTTTTTAAGAAAAACAGTACGTCATTACCATGAAGCTTTGCATGCTGCTGTAATTCCCAGCCTGCCTGCAGTAATAGGTTAGCAGCATCCCCACCACCGCCCCCTCCCAGCCCACACTGAGGACATCAGTGCAGCTTCACGGGATCCCCTTTGACACAGCACAAGTGAGTTCAACCTGAGCCCGAGCGCGTCCTCCATCTGCTGTACCACAACTGGCCGCCTCGGAGGGCAGTTACTTTCTCTGAATAGGCAATGTTGAAAACTCATCATAGAAATAATTGCTCCAGGCATCATACACTTTTGCTTAATATAGTTTTATAAAATTTCATTTAATTGATGCATACTACTCACCTATTTATAGGATACAGTATTCTGATACATATGCAAGTGCATAATGAACAAGTCACAGAAGTATTTGTATCGTAAGCTGTCGTCTGTATATGGTGGGCGTCTTCAGACTTGTATTGTCCAAGTTATCACACTGTAGACGCTCATTCCCTTACTGTGCTGTGGCAAGACATTTGCCCACGAGCGCCCTGCCGACCTCTGTTTAGCTCCCACTTAGGGTACGTGCCACCGAGACGAGCACTGACTCGTCCGCCTGCCTGGTAAGTGGGGCTGTCAGCTGGAAATCATGTTTTACACATGGAGAGCCAAGGATAAAACCTTAGAATCTAACCCTGAGTATGTGAATATGGACATTTTTCATCTGAGATTTTTTGGAATGAAGGTGTTAATTTGAGGTGAAAAGACTATTTTCCATATTTCATGGGGTGTTTGCTTTTAACAGCCCTTGATTTTCATTTTGAAAATCTTTTTTTTAATTTTATTTTATTTTTTTGGTGGAACCGGGGATTGAACTCGGGCCCTTGCACTTGCTAGGGAAGCACTTATTCTACTGAGCCATTTCCCCAGCCCCCTCATTTTGAAAATTTTGACCCTGGGGAGAAGTAGATTGTGGGACGGAATCTAAAACTAAAGACACTAAATTCCTTCCTATTCCTCTGAGCAGTTTCCATAATTTTTTTTGTCTCTGACATACACTAAGACAAACCTTACAGTTTAAACATGCAGAATTAATAAAAGGAAAAACTCTCAAAATACTCCGACCCGGCCTGTGGAGTGTTAGGGTATCCTGCTACTGACAGGAAGCTGTGGGAGGAAGCTGGTTTCTAAACCACAGGCAGCGGGTAGAGAACATGGCTCCCTGAGCACTGCTGCAGCCTTGCAGTCTGACCAACTCCAGGGCTTCTTGCACAGCTGTACTCCCAGCGCTCTGGAGGCGGAAGCAGTAGGATCACTGTGATCACCCCGAGTTCAAGGCCAGACCCTATCTCGAAAAGCCAATCCCGGGGCCGGGGAGATAGCTCAGTAGAATAAACGCTTCCCTGGCAAGCGCAAGGGTCTGAGTTCAAGCCCCAGCTCCTCCAAAAAATAAAAAAGCCAATCCCCCAGTAATTTGGCAAGAATGCTTAGAATGTGGAAGGCCCCTGGGTTCAATCGAAACCAAACCAAAACCCACTAGCCTCAGCTCCCAGAACGCTGCAGTATTACGCTACTGTTCACTTACAAACCAAAGTACAAGTCCTTAGATCGAGAATGGAAAACAAGTCCCAAAGTACTTAGTAACTGACAACCAACAGTTCTCAAGGAAAAAGTATCACTCACCTAGCCGTATACATTTTACAGACAAAACACTTTCTGGTCCACAGCCAGTGTTTCTTGGTGAGAAGAGGGTAAAGCGTCCTGTCGAGGCAGTCGTCATGATGCGCAAGCCTTTTGTTCAAGAGAAAATAAAATGCAGGTATCACGGTGCCCATTTTTATGACATATATGAGTTAAACACATCTGTCCTTAACATTAAGAACACAGTTTTGTTTTTCAATGTTTGCTCATAAGATTTTAGATAGAAGCCAAGTGCGGTGGTGTACATCTGTAATCCCAGTACTTGGGAGGCTGAAGCAGGAGGATTGCTAGGAATCTGAGGCCAGCCTGGGCTGCATAAGACCAAAGACGAAAAAAGAAAAAAATGGCAAATGGACTCATTGCACTAAGTCTGCTCAAATTCTTTCTACAAAGAATATTTTGCACTAAACAAAGACCTGTCCGCCCTCTTCATGCTGTGGGCGCTGTGACCTAAGGGGAAGCATTCGTGCTTCTCCGATGTACTCATCAGAAGATGCTTGACACAGTAACACAGGGACTGTAGCTGGGCAAGGCCACTTGGTGATACTTGACCTAGACAGATCCTGCTGGTCAACTTTATCAGAAACCCAAAGCTGGTTCCTGATCTGAATTTGTAAGGCTTAATTATAAAAATGGCAGAATTACAAACCAAAGGGTTAAGAAACAAGTGGAAATCTTTCCACCCACTACTCAGCTGCCCTTTGGGGTAAACTCCTTAAAACCACGAGAGGAGCAGCACAAGTTTATCCTAAAGGTCCCAGTGAATTCCAGAATTTCATCTCTTTAAAATATGGGTAGCAACAAATGAAACTTTATAAAAATGATTAAACTTTCAACAATTGGTACTGCCTAGTGGCACTTGAAATGATTGAATCTATCAAATGAAAATGGCTAATCAAAATTACCTATGAAGGGGCCAGGGAGATGGCTCAGTAGAGTAAGCGCTTGCCTCGCAAGCGCATGGGCCTGAGTTCAATCCCTGGTTCCACAAAAAAAGAAAAAAAATTACCTACTAAGACTTTACAGAAAAACATCAATTCTTAGAACTATTGCTTTCTCTTTAGCACTGACAGTAACTTGTTCCTTCTCAAGAATTGTGTTCTTTATTTTTAGCTTAGGACCATCAGAATGATCTACCATTCTCTGGTGGAAAAAAAAAAAAAAAAACGTGACAGTACATTTTGAAGTGAGAAAGTGCTGAAACTTAGAGCCTGCTGTTTCCCCTGGTATCACAGTGCCACCCGTCTAGTTCCCAGCCTGTCCTTCGGCAAGGTGAACAACTTGCTGTACCCAGTTCCTTCTAGTGCAGGACTCCAGGTATCCAGTTTGGTGAGGGACGCTCCACCTGTGTCTAACTGTAGAGTTCCTATCACGAAAGGTCGCTGAGTTTCATCCGGTGCACCTTAGGTGTCCACTGCGGTGGTTTTTCCCCTTGATTCTGTTAAGGTGATCGTGTCCACTTAGGGTCCCTGAGATACCTACCAGCTTTATTCATACGTGACATAAAGCCTGAAAGAACTCAGGACTCTGCCGGTTCCAGGTTTTCCTACTAAGGTAAAGCAACTGCGGCCAAATCATCTATCCTTCAGGTTCTTATGGTATTGATGTTTTCTGTTAAAACCTTTTAGAGGATATAAAAGAAATCAAACTCGGACTTAACTGTTGGGAAGACGGTAGAGTGGTGAGACACAGAGAAAGTGCCTCTGGGGCCTGGAAGGACCTGAAGCGCTGACTGCAGCCCACGAAGAGACAGAAAAGCAGCCGCGGCCCCTCTGCCTGGACACAGGACCAAGGCACTGGGCCTGGAGAAGCGCGCAAGGGCTGCACGGCGGCAGGGCAGGGCGGAGGGGGCGCTCAGTGCTCACCCCAGGCCTGAAGGGGCAGGCTCCCCTCCTGAGGGACCCCTGCGGAACCAAGCCACAGGGATCCGCACTGGAATCAGGACTTTTCTCCACCATTTCTACCAGTGGCGGAGAAGTGGACTTTAACTCTCTTGTTTGTTTTCTGTTGCGTTTTTTTTTGTTGTTGTTCTCTTCTTGTAGCTTTGTTTTCTTTTTTTTAGTGGACACAGAGATTGAACTCAGGCTCTTGTGCTTGCCAGGGAAGCGCTTATTCTACTGAGCCATCTCCCCAGTCCCTTATTTTCTCTTCCATTGTTTGATCTTGCTTTTATGTGTGAATGTGGTTCCTAGCCGCTCAGCGGCAGTGGTCCCGTCTCTCCTTTATATTAGGTCCTCCTCTTTCCCTCCTGGCTTCTTTCTGCACCAGTTTCCCAAAGTTCGTGTGAGCCCAAGTACTCTCCAGCCCCACTTCTAATCTCTTCCACTTTTCCCCCTAATCCCTGGGGGTAAAACTGACATTAAGGATTTCTATATATTATGTAATTTTCTAGTTTTAGGTATTGTTATTTAGCTACAAATCCACTTCCTACAGTTAAAGGCGGCAAATCTGATGCTATTGTGATTGCTGATGGTACCGTGTTGGCCAAAAGTGACGTAATTGCTCAACCAGCTGTTCTTCCTGATATCCCAAGCCTGAGACTACCTACAGTCATAGAAAATGCTGTGTCACAGGGCCAAAGACCCAGGGGCTGCGCCAGGCAGACAGCCACTTCTCATCCCCACCAAATTGAAGACATAGATAGAATCTTGCAACAGACTCAACATCCAAAACCCAGCTGAACCTGGAAGATACCTGGAAGCAGCAGTTGCTCCTAACGGTTCTAAACACTAGCCAGACAGCAACGCACCCAGGCAATTTACAAGCGTCACCCCAGAATTTAAACTTAAAAAAAATAAAATGAGAAGACAAACAAGATGCTACCTCAGACTTCAGTTCTCACCACAGGCAAACCCAGGGGGTACCAAGGAGGGACAACTCAAAAGCACCTTCTGGCCCCTCTGGTGGTGACAAAGCAGTCGAATAAGGCTCTAGAAAAAACTCAAATCAGAAATAATTTCTCAGGCACATGCCACAATGAAAACCACGCTCAGTGGCTTGGGGAGGTACAGAACATGTTTACCAGCGTGAGTATGTTGGGCTGGGCTTGCGTCCTTAGTGTGAATTTCACCTGACTGTGGTCAGTGATTTTATTAACGTGCCATGATCGTGTTTTGCTGAGTTTTGGCAGCGACAGTGTGTTCATCAGGGATTTTCCCTGGGAGTTTTCTTTTCATTGTTGGGTCCTTGTCTGGCTTTGGTGTATGTGTACTACTGGCCTGATGAAATGAATTTGGAAGGATTTTTTTTTCTCTCCTTTTCAGTCTTCTGAACAGTGAGAAGAACCAGTGTTAGTTCTTTAAATGTTTGGTAGAAAACAATAACAAAGCCACTCAGGTTCTGGGCTTTACTTTGTGGGGAGACAGTTTAGTTTTATTTGATTAGTGTGTATTTGCAATATAGAAGAGTGTTTATTTTTCTTTTATGGTGCTTGCTTTTTTGTGGGTTCTAGCGAGCACACTTAGGTTCTCAGGCACGTAGATGAGACACTGCCGACCACCCTGAACCCCAACCTTTCTGCACTGTATTCACGAAGCAGGCATGTTTTCCCTCACTTCAGTGGAAGAATAGATTATCTAAAATGCAGGAACATGACAGAGGCACACGTGGACTGGACATGGGCCTAAAGGGCACTAAACCTGACATTTAGGGGCTCTCCTGGTTCCCACCTCATCATTCTTCCCAGTAAGCAGCTTACACTGGGCTCAAACCTGCAATCCTCCTGCTGCAACCTTTCAACTGCTGGGATTATGACCATGGACACATAACCAGGACTTGCTTTTTAAAAAAATTTACTTGACGTCCTTCTATAGAATTTTAATTTTGATGAACAATGTTCAAGTTATGATGAATTCTACTTCCACCTATGCCACACAAGGGACTCATTCCTTTTACTGTGTAATACTTTGTTTTCTAGCTGTTAATCTCTCCTGTTTCCATCCGCTTAATCTGCAATGCCCAGCACTGTTTTCTGACTGGTAAACACAACGACCTGTATAGGTTAAGCGCCAACAGGAGGTCTTCAGTTCCGATTTCCTTCCAGATGATCTTCCTGAGTTCCTCTGGGTCAAACTCTTGTCTACATCTGATAAGAAGCCCTCATACTGGGATTTCCCGTCCCACTGTTCTGAGAATTGTGTTATGACACTCTGCACTACACCCACATCTCTATCATGGGTTACTCTGCATGAACTACTTCCTGTGATAGCTTCCGGAGAATAGCTGTATATAGGACATGAAATTTTGGAGACTGGCCATGAAGAACCAAAAGGGAAAGCGATTTTCTAATGAATTACAGCAAGGTTTATTCCTACATACTGGTACTTTTTTGTATTTGGTACACGGTCTCACTATGCAGCTCAAACTCGCAGTGATCCTCCCGTTTTCTGCCTCCTCAGCACTGGGATGACAGACGTGTGCCACCACACCTGGTGTCTGTGGCTGGCTCAGAGAGCCTAGGGGCGGGCTGGCACAGCCTGTGGTGCTAGGGATCGAACCCAGTCCCTGTGCTTGCCTAAGCAGGTGCTTGGTCCACTGAGCTATCTTGCCAGCCCCATACTGGTCCTTCTTAAAGGAAGATTTCCATGAGCAAATGAGTGCAGTAGTATGGTGAAAGAGCCATCACCTCTACAAAATATCAAGCTAAAAACCAGATCCTGTCATACTATGTTAGGGAATATTATGCCTAATTTTTGTGTGTGTGAGAACAGGGTCTTGCTGCACAGCTCAGGCTGGACTTGAGCTTACTTTGTAGCCCAGGCTGGTCTCAAACTTGCAAAACCCTCCGGCCTCAGCCTCCCCAGTGCTGGGATTACAGGCCTGTACCACCATGCCCAGCACTATATCTAATTTTAATCTTTATCAAAGCATTTAAAAATTTACATTTGTCAAATATTAGAATTTTCTTTCCCCAGTTCTCTTTTATTTCTTTATATTTTAACAACATTTAGAAATAAGGCTGGGGTGTAGCTCAGTTGCAGAGCTACAAGCAAGCACCAGACCCTGGGACTCAGCTCTAGCACCACAAATAGAACAAACAGGAGAAGGGCCGGGAAGGAAGGAAACAGTGAAACCCAGGATGCAGCTGTGAGTCTGTAATGCACTCGGCTGCCACGGTACATACACAAAGTGGACGCACTCCCTGGGCAACAGTATTATATGCAGGAAGTGTGAAGTATTTATAGAGATTTTTTCACATATTTTTCCAAAAACTTCATAATAGAAGATATAAAGAGATCTAAAGGAAGAGCTAGTTATGCTAAGGGCAACAGAAACGTGTTGCTATTCCTAGTGCAAGCTACAGTGATGATTCTTTTTATTAAAAATATTTTTTCTTCTTCTTCGTGTGTTGGGTTGAAGGTAGAGCATACGAGGCAGCCTTCTATCACTGAGGTTCACCTCCAGTATTAACTGTACTTTTACACCATGAATTAGAAAAACAAAAACAGAATGACAAAGTATTCTGAGTGCTGCCACCTACCTTATGTCTGTAATGACGACAACATGTTCACAGTCTCCCTGGTGACAGTATAAGTAAGGAAACCCCAGCTTAATGTTGAGGTCATTGAAGGTAAAATCTTCCATTCTAGCTGTCTGAAACTTTCCATAGCCTCTATCATGAGACTCGGACCACTCAATGATAGTTCTGAGGGGACAAAAAGGCAAGGATCTGTCACTGCTTCACAAAAACTTTAAAAATTAAAAGCTACAACTACAGCACTGCACGTACCACTTGGCTGGCCCAGTTAGGCGGAGGACAGCCGTCTTTACAGGAGGGCCATGTTGGTGTGTGTACTCTGCAGTTAATAGCTCTCAAAAGTGTAGTCCCTGATCCAAAAGCATCTCTGCAGGAATGCTGCCTGCCTATTCCAACCCTCGTCCCGATAAGTAACCAGCTTGCTAGAAGCTATGTTCTGCATACCGCTTTAACTTGACTACAAAACATTTAACAATACCACTCACTGTATTCTGGACATTATTTTTCATAAAAATCTTATGTTAACATAAGATTAACAAATATACTTTAGTTTTAATTTCTCACATGCCACATATTAACTTATAACTCACACAAGACCTCCTCAGAGCTCTCATTTTATACTGCTAAGGTTGAGACCAAGTGTGCAAACTGCTGCATCAGAATATAAAAATGGCCACAATGAAACATATTTTTATATAAACACTCAAAAAGTCTATACTTATTGTGAGGCCACTCTCATATGTGATATACCTATGCAACACTGTTATGTCCATTCAGCCAGGAAAACAGAAAAAGCAGTGAAAAATTAATTTACCACTATCATCTAACAATCAAGATTAATATTTAATTTTTCAGGTGCATGTAACATTAACTACAAAATTTATAAATAATTCCTTGACAAAGATTTTTTTTTTTTTGGCGGAACCGGGGATTGAACTCTGACCCTTGCACTTGCCAGGGAAGCACTTATTCTATTGAGCCATCTTCCCAGCCCCTTGACAAAGATTTTTAATAATATGATATACAGTGATAGCACTACTTAGAAAGCACAAATATAAAACATTTTGGAAAGTTTTTTGGAAACTATACCTGCTCAAATCTCTGCATTCTGGGTATCTTTTATCATTGTAAAATGTTCCCTCAAAATAAAAGAAGGCAGATTTGTACAGGTCCTACAACAAAACATACAATATGGAGAAAAAAATCTGTTTAGTAAGTAGGAAATTACTCTATTCATTCAAAATTTATAATACAATAAATTTATAAAATCAGTCTATATTACAGTAACACTATGAAATTTCACAAAATCTACTAGGGCCATACATTTATCTAAAATTTAGCCAGATCAGGTAATGCCTGCTCCAATTCTAGCACCTTGCCACAAATTCCTAGCCAGCGTGGGCTACACGGTGAGTTTCAGGCCAGCCTGAACTACAAAGCAAGACTCCAAATAGCTCCACATAGTGAACGACCTGATGGGAACCTACTATATGCCAGGTATTAGAACAGTCATCAAGGTTAAAGATGTAAAGACGGGGTATCTGTGACTATTTACAATTTTATACTATTTAGGTTTGATTTAAATCTGTGATTTATGAAAGGAATTCAATTAGAATTCAAATAAACTTGTGTTATTTTATAGTGTATATATACAGGATATCACAGTTACTCTGGGTTCTAGAACTAAAAACAAAGTCACATCAAAGATTGTTTCCACAGTAATAATTAAAAAAGATCAGCGAGGTTTCTTTTCTGACATGTTTGAAAAACTTCTTTCTCTCACTGTGGTGCTGGAGATTAAACCCCATCAGCCCTCGGGCAGGCCAAGCAAGCTGCCTACCCTGAGCTATCCACCCCACCCCACAACCCTTCCAAATGTGTGTTTGAAATGTCACTTTAAATTTTCAGTAACTTTTAGGCAGACAGAACGTGAATTTCGCCTCTACTTGAGCCGCGCTGCCCACAGCACCACAGCAGCAGGCGCGGCTGCTCTCGCTCTGCAGGCTCTTGGCTGCATCGCCGCAGCAGACTGCCCATCTCTCGAGCCGCACTGCACAACAGCACCACAGGAACGCCCAAGGCCAACACGCAGTCAGCAGACAGCAGAGGAGAACCTCAGCACACGGCCCTGGCCTCTACCAAAACCATGCAGGCAGGCTTGAGAACTACTTCCTTGACCTCACTCTTCAGAAATGGACACTTTGTCAGGGGATGTGCTTTCTTCTCAATGGCTTTTGTGTGGCTGGTATGCGCATGTAACTAGGGTCCTCCCACTCAGCTACACCTCCAAACCTTTTTGTCTGACACAGAATGTCACCAGTTGCTCATCAGGCAAGGCTTGCACCTGTGCCCCTGGGCCTCAGCCTCCCAGGGTGCCGGCCTTCAGGCATGCGGACGGACCCCCGCTAGTCTACTAGCTTTGCCTCCCAGTATGTAACCATCTCCTCTCAGACCTCAAGCTGAGAATGCTATCTGCCATGGTAGCTTTCAGGACTGCAGTTTCAGATACTAAATCATTTTACCCTAATATTACAATTTCTTTCTTCTTGAAGCTTCTATTTTTCTTTCTTTCTTCTGTATTTTTTTTAGGGAAGGGTCTACAGGTGCTCAGGGTCTCGGTACTAGATTGGACTCCCAGAGCTTCTCCCAAGAGCTGGGACTACAGGTGTGTTCTACTACGCCCAGTCTCAATTGCAGTCTCAGCGCACCCGAGGGCAGCGGCAGCACAGCATGCTGGGGATCAAACTCTGGGCCCCCGCCCCTGCTTGCAGGCGCTTTAATCCACTGAGCTATCTAGCCAGCCCTTGTATTTTTCTTAAGTATCTTTACTCCTCTACTGACAAGTCATCTTGCATCTTACTCCTGTAAGGTTCTGCTGTTTCACCTTGGACAGGTCACCTAATCTCACTAGCCTGTCTTCTCATGTAACTGGGAGGAAAGCCATCACACTCTGCACAGGAGGCTGTGGTAACGAAAGATATAATGGCCGGGCATGGTGGCGCACACCTATAACCCCGGCACTTGGGAGGCTAAGGCAGGAGGACTGCCATGAGATTGAGGCCAGCCCGCACTGCACAGTGAGTCAAGATCAGCTTGAACTACACAGGGAGACCCTGCGTAAAACAAAGACAAAACAGTACAATGTACGTGTTAATGACACATTTGCCTGCTACAACATAAGATTATCCCTTCAAATACTCCTAAACCCTCAAAGTGGTAAGCAAGAGTCTACAATAGATTCTCAAAGAATACCACCTTAATTTGAGCACAAAATAAAGTATATAAAATTTTGTTCAAAACACTTCTACTGAACATATTATGATTTAAGCAACTTAATACCTATTGACATAATTATTAATTACCAAGTGAATGGTTTATCCAAATGGCACCCATTTGTGACCTCAGCATATGAAAGGGGCATACAGAAGATGGGGCTTACCTCGGTAACAGTGAGTTTTAATTTTCAGTGGGAACCAGACCTGTTATCTCTAACCTACTTGTGCCAAATATCCTTCCTCATACCCGCAGGCAAGACAGCTTCTCTCCTACTGTGGGGTACTAAGTCTGGGGTCTCTTGCCAGGGCTGCATCAGTAACAACTACTTGAGCCTTCCCTCATTTGAAATGCAGAAGGCTGGGCCCTCTGCTTGAGCAGAGAGCAGTCACTCCTAAGCATGTCCTCCCTCCCACAAATCCCCTGTGCTGTAGGGAGCACTGCAAACCAGCGGGGGCCAGCCCCACACTGTCTCTCCGTACTGTCCAGTGTTGTCCCAGGACTTCCTGGTCTGTCTGCATACAAAGAAAAAAGTGATGAGCCACGGGGACGCCACTGTCTCAGCTGATGCCAATCTCCTGCTGGTGTAATGTTTTCATGCTGACGCTCCTAGAGTTTGAAAGCAGAGGGTGTGAGCAACTCAAAAGCTACAGTGGCGCTTGTGCTCGGCAGATGAGACCCATGGCTCAATCCCCTGAACCTTTCTCCCTACTCCCCCCAAAAAAGATACCGTGAGCTTAGACTGAGTGAAAATGGAGAACAGTCAGCGGGTCCCTAGGACCTAGGAAGGATGTGTCAGTAGAAAAAAGGAGAAATAAACGAGAAGAGGAAATCAAAACAGAGTCTTGCCGCTGTGGAAAAGCGCTGATGATAAAGGGGAGGAAAAGGCACCAGTTTCGATGGACTCGCAGGGAAGAGGCAGGTACCAGACCACTGTAAACCTGCTATAGTTATCGCCCCTTCCCCACGTTTATCTGGGGAGGGTCACCTTACTTTGCTGATGTGCTCTGGAGCTTCGTCAGGATTGTTGCTGAATTCACCGCCAATCTGGAGGTCGCTGACGCAGCAAATGGCATCCCTCAGTTCTGTGAGCTTCTGCCTCCCCAAAACCAGCATTGTCTGGTACGGTTTATGTTCTTTATGCTAAAAGTCAAATAGTAAATAAATGTCTGCTTACAGACAAAACCTTTAAATCACAAATTCCATCATGAGTGGATCTAAAGGAAGTTAGTGATTTTTGTAATAAGTTGCCCTCACAAGTGATAGTTGTGTTTTTTCTTCTTTTCCCAACCATACAAGCAGACTGACACAAGGTCAGCTGACACAACCACACACAGATTTTGTGCCAGTGGTGTGGACCCGACAGCACAGGCGCTGCTCAGGCTGTATGCATCACTGAGGTTTCTACAAGGTTCACCCTCACCGCCTTATGCCGCCTCACTGGAGTTCTTCAGACTAACCAGTCAGAAACTGTTAACCCTGCCGTGCACTGCGTTTCCTGTAAGTCCTTCCCGTGGAGGACCACCTGGGGTGACTCCCCTTGAAAGAAGCCAGGTCATCTCCACTTGGCTGAGCCTGTCCCCACTCCCGTGTCCTGCTGTGTGCTAGGGCTAGGGCTTGTCCTTATCCCCTCCATTGGCTCTGGGCAATGCAGATGGGCCCGGTGGAGGTGCTGATGTGCACGCAGTCTCTGAAGCAAGGTGACAGGGCGGCATTTCCCGCCCCTTGGAGGCCACAAAGCCTGGGTGTGCAACAGGGGAAGACGGGGAGCAATGCTCCACGCTGTCAGCTGGGACGGGGCCTTGAGACAGAGGCTGGGACGCCCCAGGGCACTAACGATGACACAGCAGTGCTAAGGCACGGGCCCCAGAACCTCAGCTGCTGCTGCCCTCCTGCGCCATGCAGATGGCTCTGCATTTCCTTCTCTGCACGCTGCACCGGTGAGCTCAGGCCTCCTGCCTGGCCAGCTCACAGCACCCATGGGCTCCTGCCACTCGCGCAGTTCCTTCTGCACAAATGAGTAACATCCAGATTTAGCCTGGGTTGGGCTGGGGAGATGGCTCAGTAGAATAAGCGCTTCCCTGGAAAGCGCAAGGGCCCGAGTTCAATCCGTGGTTCCGCCAACAAAAGAAAAAAGGTTTAGCCTGGGTTGAGGCCTTTTTCTGGATAGCTATCATCCTGCTGGGCATAGGACCCCTTGGCTCCCACAACTACAAATCCACCTTAATGTCTCTATTCTCACCATGGGTTGCACTGAAGTGGTAGACTGGAATTAACTCACTAGAATTCCAATAATTTTTCCATATAAACTTCCCCGACCATGACAGAGTCCAGGAAGGGCTCCCAACACCCTCCAGAAAGCTGTGGCCCTGTGTCTTCCTCTCTTTTCTTTACCTCCAGCTGAGATGCTGCTTGTCACCAGGACAAGACCCCGTGTGGTGTGGTGCACATGCTCTTCTTAGGAAACCTAAGTACTGTGATAAAACCTTGACGGCACGGACCTCCCTGTGTCCCTGCTTGGTCACCTTCATAAATCAAAATTCCATGGGTACAACTGAGACACTTGCCAAAGAACTCTCTTAGTTTAACCAAAGTCTATAATTATGATGCCACTAAACTGACACTAGGACTAAGAGCTCTTAGAATACCACCTCATCCACAGCACTGTCAAACTTCCTGAAGGTTACATCATCAGAGCCAGTCCACTATACCCTATCCCAGTGGTATACACACAAAGGTTCTTTTATTTACTGCTGTGGTCTTTGGTTGTTTTTGTTTTTTGGGGATTTTTTTTGTAATTTAAGGTCTAAAAATCAAGGTAATTAAGTATACTCCACAAAATTCATTATGTGTACTTATGTGTAAGTGGAATTTAGGTCTAGTGAAAGATAGTTCAGTCAGACCTCCTCAAAGTTTAGGATATACACTTTGAGGTAGGTGGACTATGGTTCTTTTTATTTGAGACTCCTAAGAAATTCCTTAGTGTGGGGATGCAACTCAGTATAGAGCATTTCCCAGCACTGCAAAACAACACAAAACAAAACAAACAAAACACCCACCTGGATAAGCCTGACTTGTGAACTTCATGTGTTTCATCAAAGAATTGTCTTTGGTTAGTTCATCCACTCCTCTACTAGCCACCCATTTTGTAAAAAATTCACAGAATTAAACTCATTCTGGATTTAAATATACTTCCAGCTGCTTCTAGTACAGAAATCAAGTATAATTCCAATAATGTAACTGTTGTCCTCTTAGTGAAGAAATGGTTTAGAATTTGGCCTTATTGATATGCCTTATGTAAATAAAGACTTTCAGCTCTGAAATAAGATGTTAGATAGCATATCTATAAGAAACTATTTAAGGAATTAAAACCTGACCTGCTGCCCCAATCAGACATTATCTTATCCGTGTAGGTCTGAAGGTCTGACTACTTACCTTATGAAATATAATGGGGTACAAGATATTCACAGATAGGATAAGCTCGCCCTCCTCAACCATGTCTCCTGGATTTTCAGGCTTTTTCCCCATTGCATGTGACTCCTGAAATAAAAACAAGACCTCACTCAGACGCTAGCTGAGGCTCTGTGGTTCAATGCCTATTAGGAAGGCTTGAGTCTGACAGCTCTAGACTGACGTCTAATTTGACATCAGGAGAATAATTAAAACTCCTCTAAGCTTTAGCTTCCTCTTCAGTTAACTGATGTTGACTCCTGCTGGGAATGGAAACATACGTCATCTAATAAGGGCTAGGTGTACTGCTCAGTGGTGCAGCATCTGCCTGCCATGGACAGGGCTTTCAATTGGCCCCCACACTTCAGATTTGGGGCTCTGAATGAAACTGAGTAATGGGCTCCTTCTACTCTGGAGAGGTTCCTCACAGAGCGGCACTGACCTTGCAATTCTGTCAGCAGCGCATCCAGTAGCAACACTGAGGAGCACAGCATGACATGGCCTTTGGTACCCTCAGAAACCCAGAGAGGTTGAACATCAGGTTCTGTCATTGGGATGGCCTCCTGCTTGAAGGCGCTGGCCAATGACAAACCTCTTCAGGCTCTGAGCCTAGTACCCTGTTAGTTTCGTATCCTCACTGGTAGTGTGTGAAGAAATAAACTGTGGAGTTCAAAAACCAAAACAAAAACCATGTACCCAGTATTCCTGCTCTGTCATCGGCAGACAAGCCCTCCATGCTGATGAGCCCATTAGACAGATGTTTTGTTTATGTTTTGCAGCGCTGGGGAGCAAATCCAAGGCCTTGCCCATGCCAGGCAAAGGCTGCGCTGCTGAACTACACCTCTGCTAGATGATACGTGCACCCACTCCTAGGAAGTCATAAACTCCGCAATTTACTTTTTTAAAAAAGATGAAGCTAAGGCTTAGAGAAGTAACAGTATGGAAAAATTCCAAGCAGTGTTGGCCCTCAGGAAGAAAAAACACACTTGGAATGTCCCCACCAAAACCTATGAAATACAGGAAATTATGGCCCATTCACAGGAAAAGAAGAATCGAATAGGAACTCATACTGCAGAGGCCCAGGCACTGACATTCCTAGCTGAAGAGGTTAATGAATTACTCCTACAGGCAAAAGTGAGGTTCATATATAAAGATGCTGAGTCAGTTCTCTCAAATGTGTTCAGTGAGCTCAAAGAAGCCATAAACAACTACAGGAAATCAGGCTCCTCAACAAACTTACCAGCATATTTCTCAACAGAAACCATAGGGACAAGAAATGACTGCAATGACACACAGAAACCCCTGAAAGAAACACAGCTGACCAAGAAATTTGACAAGGGCATGGTGGCACAAGCCTAGAGCCCCAGCATTCAGGAGGCTAAGGCAGGATGATCACAGCAAGCTTGAGGCTAGCCTGGGCTACAGATTCAATGCAATCCCTAATAAAATGTGAATTTTTGGGGCCTACATTAAAAAAAAAAAAACAAAAAACAAAAAAAAACTTTCTACAATTCATATGGGATTTCAAGAGATTCTGAATAGCCAAGATAATCTTCAAAAGTCAAAAGTCTCACATTTCCTGATAATTTACTACAAAGTTACAGCAATAAAAACAGTGCAGTTCCAGCATCAGAATGGACAGAAAAGGCCAACCGACTGTCCACATGGGTGCCAAGGGCATTCAACAAGGAAAGGGCAGTCTTCCCAGCAAATAGTGGTGAGAAGCACGGGGGTCGACTACATGGAAAAAATCCAAGTTGAACTGAATACCCGCAAGCTGACTCATGGAGCACTGAGGGGAGGAAGTCAACGACCATGCAGCTGAATTACACAAAATGACAGAAGAGGAGACAAGACAAAACAAAACAAAAACAAAAACATAGCAGTAAGGTGCTCAGTAAGCTCAAAGGTGATATAACTAAACCGAAAGTGACTTTAAAATGATCCAAAAGTTTACAGAAAATACTAATAAAAAGCTAGCTGAGCTAAACAACATGATACACACACACACACACACACACACACACACACACACACAAATGACCAGTTTTACAAGGAATTAAGAGTATATGAAAAATCCAGACTAAAAATTCTATTGAAAATA